TTTTTTTTTTTTTTTTTTTTTTTTTTTGTACTGGGGATCGAACTCAGGACCTTGCTCTTATGAGGCAGGAGGTGGCACCACTGAGCTAAATCCCCAGCCCTGTGACTTTATTCTTTGATAGATTGGCAAGTATGAAATGCTTTCTACAAGGGACTCCACGGTAGTGGTGTTCAGAAACCAGGACTGTTTTAATCTCAAAGATAAAAACAGTAACATCTACAGAGTTTTGTCACTGGGTATCTTTAGGTTTGGGTTTGGTTGGTTTGAGGACGTGTGTGTGTGCATGTATTGTGTTTTCAGTGTGTGTTATTTTGTTATTTGTTTTGTTTTGCTTTTTAAAATATGCATAAATTTGGGAGTCTGAGCTGTACTTGTTTTCAGCAGCAGTTCAACCCTGGAAACAATGTGATAAAATACATATCCCAGATAAGGAGACAGAAAGACAAGACGCATCCCAAGAGTGCTAGCCAAGAGTTCTCTCTGCATAATACCCCACTGGCCCTGCAGAGACAGAAGCAGCAGTTAGTACCTTAATACCTGGGATGCCTGCTGGAGGAGAAGCTTGGGTCCACCTCCCTTCTCCTCTATTTCCAAAGTCTTCATTTCCTAACATCCACACATCTGTGGCAAATCTACCAAAATAACTATGATGTTCTGCCTAAGAATAACAGCATACTGAAGAAAACGTACTTGAAAACTTCAAACATTTTCAAGCTTCAAGTTTCAGATTATTAAGCAAAACACATCTCATTCTAGGAAGCTTTTGTTGTTGTTGTTGTTCATTGAGGAACTAATTCCATACCAGTTCTGCCACTAACCCGAAGTTCACTCCTGTAGAATAATCCTTCCAAGATCCCATCCCAAGCTCTTAGATATACATACACACACACACACACACACACACACGCACAGTGTTTGTGGAATGAACTTCTGAACTCTGTAATACCCCGTTAAAATTTTTTCCAACTTACAACTATGGAACTCTGATCCCTTATTGATTTTTAACCATCCCCAGGCAAACAGAATTTCAGAGCTTGTGTTATAGGTCCAAAGAGTTTATTTTGAAATTTACTTACTTCAGAGGTAAATATCTGATTAGGACATTGAAAAGAATTTTTAAAAGAAACAAATTTAATGGCTGAAATGTATAGATCTGTATCATCCAGTATGACAGTCATTTGCCATATGTGCCTATTGAAATTTAAATTAATTATAGTGAAATACAATTAAATTTTACCTCCTCAATTGTATTAGCCACAACTCAAGTACAGAGTAGACACACTTAACTAGTGGACAGTGCAAATATAGAACATTTATATCCTCATCAAAAGTTGTATTGGGTAGAATACTATAAACAACTTTATTAATAATGCAGTGGCCTGCTGTGTAGTAAGAAGATTTTATACTCTAACTTGAAAATTTTTTAATATTTTTGAAATTCAGTTTTTTCAGTGTTACATTATTGGGGATATACTTCTCAGTGATCTCTTTCTTTTTTTCTATTTGCTCAACTATTACAACATAAGGGATAAATAGGGCTGGGTGTGTAGCTCAGTGGTAGAGCACATGCATAGCCTGTGGGAGGCCTTGGGTTCAATTCCCAGAACACACACACACACACACACACACACACAGCCCACACATGGAGCTAAGTATTTTGTGTACTCCCCTAAACTCAGAGATTCTTGATGTCTTAAAAATTGAGAAAAGAGGGCTAAGGATGTAGCTCAGTGGTGACATGTCTGCCTGGCAAATACAGGTCCTAAGATCCCCAGTACTGGGAAAAAAATTGAGAAAAGAGATAATTACAGTTGTGTGAGCTAAATATTATCATATATGATTGTTGATGTGTTTACCTACCTATATTCTTGACATTTCCAAGTAAGCAAAACTTCTGTGGGCTGGGGATGTAGCTCAGCAGTTCCACTGCATGTTTTGCAAGTACAAGATCCTGAGTTCGATCCCCGCTACCAAAACACTTTAATAAGGTTTTAGTTTTGCTACAATGATAGATGTGTCTTAAAGCTGATTTATTTTTTAAGCAATTTTAAGAGCCAAGCAAAGTAAGTACTAGAACCCTTTTTTATAGAAGTATACATAATATTACAAGTTTCTGTTTTGATTTATAAACATATGTGTGTAACAGTAGCTTGTTTTTATTTTTAGTTGCTATAAGCACCCATGTTATATTATATTCTCTAAATCCTTAGTCATCATATGGGTCCAATAATATGACCCCATTAATAGAACATCACCCTTTGTTACTTCTCAGTCACTTTTACCTAGCAATTCATTTGCATTTGTCCCCCAAACTAATGATTACAGAAGGCAAAAAAATTGAAAACAAACTTGTCTTTGTGTTACTGAAACATAAGAGTTAAGAAAGTTACATGGATAGCTGTGACAAAGTGATGTAAATATCCAGCCAATATTCTCCTTACACATTTAATAATATCATTTTTATATGAAAACGTAAATAGCAGAAGTTCGGACCCAGTGTGTAATTTTAAAACATCAGTCCCAGAAATTTATCAATGGGAAAGACGCAAGGAAAACAGCTATTTGTGGTTGCTTTAAGAAACAAACAAACAAACAAAATACTGTTTTTTAGACTAAACAGGTCTACTCTATATTATCTACTATTTATAGTTTATCTATAATATTATATTTTTGCTAAAATAATATGTTCTTTTGGTAAAATAATACGGCCAGATATGCTTAACACATAGCTGACTATGCCAGAGACACTACTTCAACTTAGGTTACTATTTATAGTTTTAACAATGAAGGAGTTTAGAGAACTACTCTCTAAATTTAGAAGCTGTTTTGCTAGAAGGAAAAACTTTCAACTAGCACAGTAATATTGTCATCTTCTCTCTTCAATTTATTAGATATTCCTTTTAAGAAGACTTAGGAAATGTACCAATAAACTCAATTAAAGCTGGAAAAAAAAAAAGAAGACTTAGGAGGGGGCTGGGGATTTAGCTCAGTGGTCTGTCACCTGCCTTACAAATACAAGGTCCTGAGTTCAATCCCTGGTACTAGAAAATTTTTAAGAATTTAATTAAAAGAAAAGAAGACTTAGGAGGCATATAGGAGTAATTCGTTAAATTCCAGATAGGTTTAGAATAGCTCAGAAATGTAGTGCAATACACACTCAGTAGAAGATAATCAGTTATCGGAATAGGCCTTTGATACCCTTCCAGAATTTAAACAAATACTAGGCTCACTCAAAGAGCCCTGGGACAACAGGTACATGGTACTGTGAGGCCAAAATCCAGCTAGGAGTAGTGTACTTCCTCCTCTCATCCAGGCAAAGTCAAATACTTTTGCACACAGAATGGGCCCCATAAGGAAACAGACAGAACTAAGCAGAGGGTAAGTGCCATCACTGACCAAGAGTGCACATCTTAGGTGCTTGGGATTGTTCCCAGTCCAAGAGAAAAGCAAGAGGGGCTTTTCAGGACCTCCTTCTCCCTTCAGTGCAGTCAGTGTGCAGAGAAGGGTGGGAAATGGGAGTGAAACAACTGTCTTCCTCGACAATGCAAAGCAGGAAATCTACTTGGGCTGAGTGAAATATCGAATTGGAATCACTAATGACAATAATAACAGCATCTCACAATATTAAAGATTATTGTATAACCCTATTGAAACAGATGTAACTTGCTCAACCCTTAACCATCAATGAACGCTAGACATTGTTTCATGTATAGTGTGTTTTATCTGTGCACAAGTGAACAAATAAGGAACAATGGAAGTGGTCCTGTGGAAAGTATTGACCCACAGTGCATCAGCTAGGTTTGGGATGAGACTCCTCCTGGACACCTCCCAGAATTGAAATTTAATCAGAGATTAATTAGACAAAACATACTATCAGAATTAAAAAGTGTAGAACACGTTATGTGCACACCAATTAACTGAAGGGAAGTCTGCACTGTGAATTCAACGAGAAATGCAAATAAATTTTAAATTGTAACTTATTTTAGAGTCCTTAAGAAAATACGACAAAAGTAATAAACATAGTGTAACATGAAGACTATCTATAAAGAGATTTGTGTAACCTATTTTATGATTTTATCTCCTT